TTCACGCAATGGATGCGTAATGTTTATTCACTGATACATACAGTACCTTTTACGGATGTAATGTTGTATGACAGGATACGGCCCTGACCAACCTTAGTCGATATCAAGTGGGTGTGGAACGACGAACTATATGAAGCGAGCGTTCCAGTGAAGGTATTCGCTTAAATCGGTTTGTTATAGGAATGCTGCAGGTGGCCTGTCGGTTCTAGTACTATAGTTCTGTATATAAATTAACATAGACCTTTTCTCAATATGTTCCTTTCAACCTTGCTCCTAAACAATTCACTTTTTGATGACGACGTGCTGAAATACCGAGTGAGTCACTCATCTAATTACTATACACTTAAAACATTACCAGTTATTTTTCGAAGCCGGATATTTTGATCACGTTCTGTGGAACTCCGCATCGTTTAGGACTAAAATTATTCTAAACCCCAAGAACATTGAACTACGGGATTTACAAGTCGTATGGCACTATTTTAATGTTATTCGGAGAAGTACAAAATATACTACACGATAACATGCAAATTGTTTATTGATTTCAATGCAGGGGTTTATTATTATGAATGAATTTTCCTTGCTTTCGGTTTGTATTATAATTCCATGAACTCACATTTAAATATCTAATTATAAATGTTAGTTAGTGACCAGATTGGCGAGATTGGTGATATATTGAAGAAGGGCCAAATTAAAAGTACCCTTAACCGACGAGCATGCACGAAAAGATTGATGACTGTTGATGAAGCGAAAGAGGTATGTAAGAATCGTAGTAATTGGCTTAGTCTCTGCCTACCCCCATGAGAGACAGGCGTGAAGTTATGTATGTATGTAAATGTTAGTTTAAGTACCACGGATTATGAAACTGTATCCGACGCTCAACGAATTAATGTACTTAAGTAATTATGGTTATAATATGAAATGCGACAGCATATCTTTTTATACCTCGTAAACATTTTTTTACCTTTCATCATAATGTAGTGTAGTTTACTTTATATCGATCTATGAAGCAAACAAACCACAGGGTTTGTAACAGTACCTACTTTAGCACATTTCTTTGTAACCTTAGTTAGTAATATCAGAGATTTTAACACATCTCGGTTCTCGGAAACCACTAGAATCACTTAAACGTTTATTTTACGGATATTGCTATCCTATTCATGTTCCTAGAAGTGTGTAGTGAAATAGATACACAAGTAAAATCAAGTAAGATACTTTGTAATTCAAAGACAGCAATGCTACAAAGTATCTAGAGAATTCGCTGGTATCGGGTTACTCGAAGATCGTCCTACTACGTCCTATGAATCTATCCGTAGATAATCTTAAACATCACAAAATTAATACTGTTTGGTTTTTAATTGTTCTAAAGTGGTCTAACCACAAAACACGTGAATGTGATTATGTGAAGATATATTATCCATTTAAAGTAATTTGCCAATTTTCCGTGAGCCGGATTTGTTGACGCACTAAGGAATAAAAAATATTTAGGTATCGAGATAAGCGAATTTGGAACCTTAGAATAGGAAGATCATCATCATCATCAACAGCTGGAAGAGGAGCCACTGCTGGATAAATGCCTCCCCCTTAGTCCTTTACGTCGAACGACAGCTGGAATAGTATTGTTATTGTATCAAAATTATAGTTATTGTAATTTGTGTTATCATTAATTAATTTTCTGAAATTAAAGCTTGTATCACCTTGACTTTACGTTTAGTATTTTCTACCTCCTTGCCTCCTTGGCCTAATGGTCGCAAGCGCGACTGCCAGGCAAAGGGTCTCGGGTTCGATTCCCGGGTCGGGCAAAGTATTAATGGGTTTTTAAAAAAATCTGTGGTAGCACGGAGTCTGGAATTGTGCCCGGTAGGTATATGGCCATAGGCTCACCCCCATTGGGACTCATAACATGAAATAGTGAAAAGTGGGTGTTACATGGTACAGTGGCATTAGGTGCCGTAATATGGACCTCTGCCTACCCCTTCGGTGACAAAAGGCGTGATGTTATGTGTATGTTCTGCAAGGTTGATATGTAGGTACCTATATTATGCAGTGCATGGTGAGATAACGCTTTTTTTCATTCTGTATCAAAATCACGTCCAATGTGTAAATTGAATATCTCTACCATTATTGTGGTAGGTGTTATATAGAATTTTTTTCTTGCTAATCAGGGTCAGAGCGTCACGCATGCCGGCTACTCAAGTAGGTGTGTTCTCAGTACAGACAGACATCGCTACGCAAATGTTACAAAAAATATATTTTTTACGGATAGTTGAGTGAGACTGAATGTCTACTAAAATATTGTTACAGTACTATGAATGTGCCTAGATTAGGTAGGTAGGTACTATGAGGATTTCAGATTTTGAAAATTGCAATAAAATGCCGATCGGTTATTCACCTTTATTTATTTATTTATTAACGCTTCATGCACAATGTGTACTTAATGCCGCAGGCATTTTCTCCCAGTCTGACCTTTGGGTGATGCAGAGAAGAGTGAATGGTAGGAGCAAGAAGCAGGCAACGATTTAATTGAGAAAATAGAAGATTATACTAACATATTTCAAAAATGAACATAAATAAATATAATAGTAATATATATACCTACACACGAGTACAATACAATATACATACATGCATACATGCATACGTACATACATACATATTTACTGGTATCAGGTGATAATTTAGATATCGAAAAGAAGTTTTCTTCCCACTAGAGATAAAAATAAGTATGCATGTGAACTATAGGTAGTGCCTGTACTGTACATAGGTACCATTTTATATCCGAACTTTTAATATACCTACAATTTATAAAAGCTAAATGAAATTCATTAAAGAAATCAGACACGCCTACTGTCGCATAACATTGACTGCATTCCTAATTCATTCTATACTATTGAAATAATTCTAATTAGAAGGACGACAAGTTGCAGTACAAAGAATTACGTAGGCAATTGTAGGTTCATGGGTACACACAGACATCGTGGGACTTTCATGTTATGAGGTCACTGCCTCATAATATGAAAGTCCCCCTTAGAACGTTGAACGTAATGTCCTAAAAACTACAATCAGCCATTTTTGGGTGATCCACCTGCGACCCTCAGTCGCTTAAAGACATGAAGATTATTGAATCCCTTCATAAAATTCCTTTCTGATAGCTTTGTTTACCAGTGGAGATATTCCAGGTGATGATGGTATGTTGCATAATATGCGAGCTGACAGCTGGCGAAAACAGAGAAGAAAGGAACCGATATCATCGCTTGAAATTTTGGCACAGATAAAAATACAATTCCTTTATTTGGGGAAAACCTACCAAATATATTAAGTCACTACATACTAAAAAAGTACCCTACCTAGTACCTTCATCAACAAAAGATGATCACAAAGGTAATTAAACCACAATAAAAACGCCTTTAAATTAATTAATTTTCTATACTAATGAGATTGACAAGTAGGTGGTGATGATAAGTTTATGTCGAACGTTTATGAATAATTTATTTGCACAGTATCCGTGAACTAGTCATGAACAATGGATGAGAGAAGGATGATTATATCAGCAAACATATATGACACGGCACTAGTGATTTATGATCCGAACAAGATGAGTCCTCCGTTTATCTCCTTAGAAGGCTGCGCGTAATTGCAATCATCGTAGTTCCCTTGTTTCAAAGTGTATAATGATAGCATATAAAATAATTACACATTTTATCTTATTTCTGACAATGTATTTACATTAAAGTGTGCATTATGATTGCTGTTTGTATGACAGTTGATGGCGGCTTATTAAGTACCTAATGTGTTCTGAACTTGTAGTAAAACTTATCTATATAAATTTTACGAGTTCAGTCCGACTTTGTGAGCGGATATTCAATCTAAAATCAATGCCAATAAGTTTTTTATTTGTTGTAAACTTTTTTTCGTAATTGTAGACATACCAAAATCCTGTCTCAAAAAATAAATACATATTGATATTTAAAAACGAATCTAAAAGTTGTACGGAGAGCAAAAAGTTTGTGGTATACCTCGTTAGCGATCCATATAGCGTGTTAAACATGAAGAAGTAGATACATACTTTTATACATACTTACATACACTGTAGTTGTCGTTTAAGAATGAAACTTTTATAAAATGTTCGTGGGAAGGATCAGAGAATGACGTAATATCTCCCTAACAGTCTAATGATTACATCAATACAATTAATTTTAAAACAATATTAAGAATTTGCCTTTTGTCTGTTAACGAACTGGGAGTCGCTAGACACGAAGCTTTTGTTATTCACGCATAATTTATGCTAGATATTATTATCTGATCTTGTAAATCTTCACTTCCTAATGAATTAAATTATCAAACTATTTTGCTGGTCTATTTATTTTTAAATAAGCGTTATTTTTTGATGTGTTTACGAATGATGTAATGTTTAGTCGACAGGACAATACTCTCAAGAGTTGTTTCAATATTTATTGTGTCTAAAACATGTCTAGACTAGTTTCCGTTTAGAACCAGCTTTAGAATATGAAAAACACAAAAAAGTGTTCCCAATAAATCAGTTACAAAATGTAGACTTTTATATGGATTAGCATTGAGTGGATTAGGTAGGTTTAGGTAAGATTACCAATATTTAATTTCTTTCCAAATTAGATTTTCATTGAAGATTTTTGAAGATTACTGAGATAAAGGTGTAATTGTGTAAGTAGAAATAAAACAATTTAAGTAGGTTTTATTTTTTTATTTGCTTTTAACATAATGCTTTAATGATTCTCGTTTTTTGTCTCACTACGTTACGTACCTATATTATTTCCGCATTGATTTAGATCGTTTTATGTTTACATACAAAAATAAGGCACTTCTGAATAATCAACTAAATAATTAATTCAAGTTGAGACAAAGTTCCGTTTATATTTATCACATTGTTATCACAACATTTATAAACTATCGTACTTATAATATAATAAAAGTTACATTAAATAAGTCTTCGTTTTCATAAAAATACTAAGTAAATAATTCGCCATTTATCGTTTTCCATAACCTGGAACAAATTAAAAGAAATTATTTAGCAATAGGGTATGCTTGGGATTCTTTAATTGGTGTGTGTAAAATATTGTAGTGGATCTATTTCCTTTCGTGGCTACAAATAATGTGAAGATATTTTATAAACAAAAAATCAATCGAATGGGAAATCTCCTCTTTTCATCGAAATTGGGTTTGCATATTTAGAACTTGATTAAATCGTGCTGCAAATTACAAAAACATAATTTATCAAAGTGTCCATTAGGTACATACGTAACCCATGAAAGTTGCCTAATGTCAAAGCCTGATAACAAGGCAAGTTAGTAAGTAATGTAAGGATAAAAGTTGAAGTTTCTCACCTCCTTTAGTGTAGGCACCAGAAGAAGAATGTGCGCTTGCAGAGCTGCCAGCAAAGCTGCCTCCCACTCCGAAAGCGTTAGCCAGACTTTTGGCTGTCGCACCCGCGACGCTTCCAGCTCCACTCAATGCATCAGTGAAACCGAATTTAGGAAAACCATGTTGTCCAAGATTGAAGTCAAAAGAGGCACCACCATGAGGTGACGCCGAACCTGATCCACCGCAGCCGCCGCTGCACGGACTGCCGCCCTTGACATTTCCTCCATTACTATATGATCCATGCGTATTATGTCCATATGCACCAGCTGAAGCACCTGCCGCAGCTCCCGCAAATGTCGTAGAGCCGGCAACGATACCACCATGCGCACCTGTATTTCTGTGAGCTCCTTGAGTTCCTGTAGCACTCGTTGGGGCATTGTAACCTCCGGAACTTATACCGAGCGGTGGGTTAACGTTAGCATTGTGAGAATCTCCGTGTGAGCCACTCGTTAGAGATAAGTGTCCTCCAGTGGTGGGTAACGGTCCAATTTTCCCATCGTCATATGGTTGAAGAACACCAGGTGGGCCTCCAAACCCTCCAGTATATACAACGGCGTGAGCATCAGCAGCTGCTGCTGCTGTAGCATGAGCTCCGTTTGAAGCACCGCTGTGAGAAGGTGCAACAGAGGTGTGGGTAGCGTGAGGGTTGCAATTTCCAGAAGAACAAGCAGAAGGTGAGGTACTTACTACTGGTTTATTAATATTAAGTATAGGATTAACAGCTGGCACCTTAAATTCACTAGGTTTTAATAAACCAGGTGCTCCCCCAAAACCACCCGTGTAAATTGGCTTTTCATCAGTTTCATGAATCGGTTTAATACCAGCGACTCCAAATTGAGCATTAAGTCCAGATTGAGCGTTAGCTCCAGACTGAGCATTAGCTCCAGATATCACACTACCACCAGCTGTGGGTAAATTTACGCAGTTAGGTGTTTTACAGCTAGCAGTTGAAGGGGTCACGTAATTGTGTTCATTAGGCTTTGTTGAACCAAAAGGCCCACTGAATCCACCCATATGTTGGGGTTGTGATGGACCAGTAGGGTTTACATCTGTATTAGGTTTGGTTAAACTGAATGATCCGGGGTGCACATTTGAATCAGCCGACGAACCGCTGTCGGGATAAATGACACAGTTTCCAGTTTTACAATCAGACGAGTGACCAGAAGAAGATGGTGAGTGTGTGTAGCTCGCTGTGGATGCAGGAGAGGTAATTCCATCAGATCCATGTGCTCCAGAAGGTTTATCGTAACCGCTTGTATGAATAGAAGGGGATGTTCCACTTGAGGGATGCGAACCAAAACTTGGTTTTGTGACTCCAAATGCTTCAGTTTGGGCATTAGCTGCAGCAGTACTTGCCCCAGAAGGATAACAGTTTGGTGTTGTACAACCTCCACTAATACCACCAGAGATCGGAATATTGTAAGAACCTGTAGGGGTATAAGGGCCACTAGGTCCAGTTACATGAGAGTCGTGTTTATTAGGACTAAATACTCCCTCAGGACCACCAAACCCGCCAGTGTAAGAAGGTAGTTTCTCGCTAGGCGTACTTACACCAGGGACCGGTTTTGTTGTGTCAAAATATCCAGACGGTGCTGTTGATCCAGATACACTTACAGTGGGTGCACTTGCAGCACCTGCAGTAGGTGAATATCCACCACAAGCGCCTGTTTTACAACCTACTAAGCCAATGTTACCCGGTTGTGGTGTATTGTACGACGAACTCCCAGGGTGAGCATAATTTAAATTAGTATTAGTAGGTTTCAGTGTTCCAGTGGGACCACCAAAGCCGCCAGTGTAAGAAGGTAGTTTCTCGCTAGGCGCACTTACACCAGTGACCGGTTTCGTTGTGCCAAAATATCCAGACGGTGCTATTGATCCAGAATCACTTGCTGTAGGTGCACTTGCAGTAGGTGAATAACCACCACAAGCTCCTGTTTTACAACCTACTACGCCAATGTTACCCGGTTGTGGTGTATTATATGACGAACTCCCAGGGTGGGCGTAATTGGAATTAGTATTAGTAGGTTTCAGCATTCCAGCGGGACCACCGAATCCACCTGTATATGTTGGCAATTTTTCGGTAGGTTGATGAGTATAACTACCTGTCGGTATATTAGATCCAGAAGTGGAAGAGCAACTGGGTGAATTGCAGCCAGTCGAAATACTTCCCAATGGTTTTCCATCATGGCCTGTACTAGCATGACCGTGGCTTGGGTTGGTTACTGGTGAAGGAGCATTAAACTCATTAGGATTTAATATACCGGCTGGACCACCGAAACCCCCTGTATATGCCGGAAGTTTATCTTTGTCATTTGATGGTTTTATTTCAGATGGTTTGCCATGCCCAATATGTCCAGGTGCTACATTAGATCCTGACGTAAAAGCAGGAGTTGATGAATGAGGATTACAATTTGGCGTCTTGCAGGTTGTCCCAATTAGAGCCGGAGCGTTCGATGGTGATTGCCCGAAATTAGAGATAGTAGGAGTTAGAGAAAATGAAGGGCCGGTTGCTACCTGACTATCTGGTTTTCCAAAACAACTTGATCCTCCGCAGTTAGTTGAGCTGGGACTGTTTAAAGACGATGGGCCTGGTGTCACATAATTGTCGGTATGGAGCCCATGCTGTTGGTTTATGTTCGTAGATAATGAATTTCCATATGAGGTAGCTTGTGTATTCTTTGGTTGGTTATGACAACTACCACCATTACAAGAGGGATTAGTTTCAGGTTGGTTGTATGACCCATGAATTGGCACATTGTAACTGGATGGCGAACTTTCGTGACTTGGATTTCCTGGTTCAACATTGCAATTTTCAGCAGTACACTTTTCACCTAATTTAGGTGTTTCTAAAGATGTAGATGGTTTCTGGTAATGTGTATTAATGCCAAGATCTGCACTAGTTGTGCCTTGTGTGTTAGATGTACTCAATCCTTGGTTCGAATTTTCTGAACCATGATCATAGTAACTAGACGCTGGACTTGAAGGACCTGATGCACCACACTTTCCCTGAGAACAATCTGAACCAGCGCTGTTAGAAGCTATTGCCGTTTTATCAATACTAGAAGAATGATCTTTGTTGTTGTTAGCAGAATTCGAATTTGCACCTTTGACAACATGTATGTCATTAGAGTCGTATCCCGATGGAGATGAATGTCCTGCAGTAGGACTACATTGACCTGATGAGCATTTGTTGGTATCTATTCCAGTTCCAGATTCTGATTGTGGTTTACATTCCCCTGATGCACATTTTTCAGTGTCGTGGCAGCTTAGTCCTTGGCATCCTAATCCTGATATAGCCCCCGCCCCTGCTGCGGCCGCTGCATTAGCAGCATTGTAACCATGAGCAGCAGACCCGTGTGGCGCTTGTATGTTATTATTGCCAGCAGTCTGACAGTGACCAGACGAGCAATCTCCACCCCCGTGAACTCCGCCATTTAATCCAAAACCACCAGCTCCGGAGCCACTATAGGTAAATGAGCTGGAGCTTGAACTTGAACTAGAACTCGAGGAGGATGAACTGGATGAAGCCGATTTAGAAAAACTTCCTGAATAGCTACCTCCTAATGGCACTGGAACCGGTATACCAAAGGCTCCAGCGACAGCACTAGAGTCCGCTGAAACAAAATACTAATGTTAGGTATCTAGGCACTATTCAACTAACATTGTTTGTTGATTGTTCAAAATTATTTAGTAAGAATCAATCACAACACAATTGCACAATTACTTTGAGTTACTATGACTGCAAATATTGATTATCTTAAAATAAACAAAAGAGAGATGATAACAGGTTATTATATTATGCACATAATATTAATACCAAATTATTACCTATCGCGATTTTATAATCACGTAAATCCTATAAATGAAAGTAAATATGAATTTGGATAAAATATCATAGTATTATTTTAAGTTTAGGACTTATTTATGACTCTGATAGATATATCACGGTCAATATCTAATAAAGAATTAACAAAATTCTAATATCATGTTATCAAAATATCTTATGCTTAGGCAAATTTTTCATAAATTATATAAATTGAATATCTATGAAAATAAGTCGATCACATCACTCTGCACTAAGTAAATAAACAGCACCTACCTCTTGCGGACGCTCCACCCTTGACCCCATATCCGTAGGGGGTGGCACACACTAAGCTCGCCGATAACAGTACGAAGGCACAGGTGAGCTCCATCATTGTGAAGCTTCTCACTCACTATGTTTTTGTTCCGCAGCTGCTTGCTTTTATAAAGCGATACACAAATAGACGCCGGCGTATTATAGCAAAAAACCTGTTGGTATTACCGCGAATCACGGGCTGTATTAGCGTAGGCAGTGAGTATTGTTTCCCTTGCACTAAAGCGTATAGTACATTGATACATAGCTAGCGTTCATAGTACTTATAACAATGTCAGTTTCGTATCAATAATGTATATTATTATTTCTTAGTTAAAAATAAAATTATGCCTATTAGTCATTCAATCTTAATGTCATCCAAAAACGAAGGATAGCAGGTAAGCGGGAAAACACGCTGACATAATCTCATACGTACGTGGGTACATTCAATTGATGTCCTGATATTTTTATTATTGTATGTACCTACATAGGTATCGATATAGATAGGTAAGTTTGCGATACGATGTGAGGAAGATACTAATTAGGTGGTAAACAATGTAAATAAGTAAGTAGGTAACAACAGCTGCTTCTGTCATTGATGTGGTTACTCATTTTCTTAAGTCATCGGTTTATTCAAATTGTCGCATAGCCACTCGCTCAAGTTCAAGTTGAAAAAAGTGACAACCTTATATTTATGTAGCTATAGCTAGGTGCCAGCTACCCACGCGTAAATAGATTAGATGTCTTTTTATGTTATTATACTTAGATAGCTTGACCCCTCAAAAACAGGTTATCTATGTATTCCTGCAGCAAGTAAAGATTCTGTAGGTAGGTATTAGTTTAGTTTCTAAGGGGGCATCCATACTGCTGTTTGTTACAGTGATGACACCTAATGTAACTAACCGACAAAATAAAATTAATGTAAGTGTTTCCTACTAAACTTGAGCTTATTACTTAAACAAAGGGCAATTAGACTACGTACATATCACATAGGTACCTATATTTACAGCCTTATTACTTATTACCTTTTAATGAGTTCAAATTGGTGGCTTTTAAAATGCTTCTTTTATTGGGTTTGCAAATCAAGTCTTATTTTAACTTTTTGTAGATACTTCTATAGTACGTATGGTATATTTTCTTGCAAGTCATTGGGTTTCCTTTGAAACTAGGCGGCAGGGAAGTTACTTTCTTATTTGAGACAAGCCCGCCACAACCTCTCAAAACCGCTGCAACTCCTGTAACCCAGGATTTACTGTAGATACAACCATGAAAACACCGGAATACTGAAGTCCGTCGCGTCCCAGGGACATGAATAAATGTCTTGGCTACCACGTTTTTAAAAAAATAATAAAAAAAACACAATGAAATGAATCAGAATAGTCTCCACTTCTCTCGGTGAATTACTGCAGGAGACAGAATGAATTAAGCCTAAAGGCACAAAAAGAGACTGTACAATTGGGAGAAGCCCAGTCGCCAAGCACCACGGAAACTAAGCGGGTCCTATGTGTAAGTTGTTATACTTGCTCCAATAATAGGTATGGTTATAGTTATAGTATCTATTAAACTTTAGGGCCACTTGTTTAATACTCCCTAAAGTCCGCTTAACTTTAGGGCTTAACGTTTAAATACTCCCGAAAGCCCGTCCTAAACTTACGACGGTTACCATATCGAAAACTCAATCAGCGTCTAGTTACTCCAAGTTAGGTATGAAAACAAGGGTTCCCAATAGGTGGGTTACGAGGAAATTTAACATGGGCTTTGTCCATGGCCATGCAAAATTAAATTATTTCACTTTGGTACCGGCTAAATATCTTAGGGGTACCAAGTTTGGTTACTTGTCTTAAATGCGTTTGATTCAGTTACCTTAATAAAATTTAGTCTCATTTCGTCGGTCACACTGCCAACAAAAGTTGTTCACGCGTTTGAAACTTGGGGTAAGGCAGTTTTGTTGTTTTCCGAAATTTTCAGTAAATAGCACGGAGTCTGGAATCGTATCCAGTATTGTAGTATTATTTGATTTATTAGTACTTACCAACGTCAATGTACCTCAACCCTTATTTACGTTTGTCCGGGTTTGCGGTGAGTGATCCATGTTATTCTGCAGCTAAATTGATATTTTAGTTGTGAGTCAAACCAAATTATGATAATGATTTAGTTGTCGATAAAGCATCTAAATAGAACTCGACAGGGCCTATAAATCTAAATGACGTAAGCGAGGGCTGTCAAGGAGCGGTGAAGGTAGAACTCGCGACGCTTGTCGTGTGACCGCAAGCGTGCATCCTGCACACATCCGGGTGATGCGTCGCATGGATGTTCTCATTCTCACCACAAATTCTGCACATGTATGTTTTACTTACTATATTTGTACCAGCATCCATACATAAGGAGCAAGTCGTGCACTCGACATTGAATTACACGGAATATACAAATACCAGCCACGTAATGGGTTGTCCTCTTATGGCTTAATTTATTTCTTTTACTCAGCTAAGACATAATGGAAATATGATAGAATGTTTAAGTACTTGTGTGATTATTCCTAGGAATATATTAAGAATATTGCAATACTGTTCCAGCCTAATGTATGCCCAAGGTGATTTCAGAGGTCGAGGCTTTTGTAAATAATAATTTACCTTATAGAGGACGCAGCTACTGTAATATTTATAGGACGATTAAAGTTTAAGTAACCATTTTGTTCGTGTTTATATCTCACGTAAAATTGTAAATATTTTCCTGTTTGCTCCTAATTTCGAAGAACCGTACAGAAAGGTCATAATAACAACGAATGGTTTTCAATGCTATTAGAAAGAACTCCATGATGCTAATTCCGTGTCCGCGGCGTATGACATCACATACGGTTCAATTCCAATGCATAATGTTAAACAGGCAGGCTATCTGTGATTGTACTTCTATAATATGACTGTTGTCAGTAACTGTCCATCACTTATTATTACTTCTTAATGTTTATTATTTTTTATAGAATCAGTAAATGAATAGGATTCTTGCAATTTCTACCGCATATTTATAATCTTGGTCGAATCATTTAGCATTTTTGTGTTATAAATAATGCTTAGATGATGTTTGTTAAGGACATTCTATGTTACATATCAAATAAAATATCAATTACTGAAAATATGAATGTATTCGTCAATACACATAAACAACTTAAGTTTTCCATAGATTCGACTTAAATCTAAAATAACCGTACCACGTACTTGAAATAGACATGAAATTATTTACAACGATTATTAAAAACGTGTCATAAAAACTAACTAAATAAAAATAAAGTGCTTTTGTGACTGTATTCTTGTTTAGTCGGCGTTGTTAGGGCCCTCGTTATATGAACTCGTCGGGTTCACGTGGGGCGTCCAAGTCGCGGTAGTGTATCACCGGACGAAAATCGGCGCCGCCCCTTTAACAATCAACCACATTAGCTACGTTAGTGGCCACTCACCCAGCACACAACAATAACTGCACTCACAAACACTAATATTTACTACTCAAATCAAATCACACTGCTAGAAACTACTCAAGAAATAATTAATTTACTTTTAAATCTCAGCTTCCCAGGAAACGAATTTTGATAGAGGTGTGTATAAAGGAGTTAGAATAAAAGTATGTCGTATGTCGATCGGACAGTTTATTAAAAAAATACAATACATACCATGGTAGAAGACAATATGGTAAACATATAAAATGTATCCTTTTAAAAGGTTATTGTTAGATACAATAAGGAATAAAAAGGATTTTTATGTGTCGATAAAATTATTTTTACAATCTTTTATTGTTATTTATTTCTAACATTTTCATTTATTTGCATAGATGTTAACGGTTGTTGTAAATTCGCCACAAAAATGTATAAATTCGTCACAATTCCTATTTTTGTCATTTTCCATAATCTTGTTTCGTTTTGGGCCTTATTTTGTAAGGATTTTTTTAATGGGTAAAATCATCGAATAACTGCTCCCGCCTGAGGCCGGAGGGAGTGTCAGACTCTTACTGACTAAAAACCACCCCGTTCCTTCTCCTGCGCTTCGAACCGGAGCCCCGGTAACCCGTTAGGTTCTCCGCGACATTTCACGCGACATAGGTAGTAAAAAAAATCAAACCATGATAAGAACAAAATAATATTATATAATACAGAAATTAAAATATCGATACAACATTTATAATTAAAAAGGTGTAATATATACAAGTATGTGTTTATAAATAAGAGGTGTTTAAAGAAAACGAGAGAAGAAGTAGATTTCAGTTCAGTTAAAAATTAAAACGCCCTAGTACATTTCAATTATTCATTGAAATGTTAAAAGTCAAGGATAACTTTTTTTGCTACTACTACTTTTGGCAAAAATTACATAAATTCAGGATTTGTGGCCAATTTATAACAACTTCTACCTGTTCCCCTCTACGAGTTTCCACATATTTTTAGTGGATGCGACGAATTTACAACCACCGACTTCATTATACCTACATCTAAAATAGTTCCAGTTAACATTGCATAAAATATAATGACATTTACGAAACATGCCTTATTAAAAGTCAAGTACATAATAATGTTCTCGATAAAAATAATTTAGGAAATTTATACAAATTTAAAAAGGATAACTGTAAATATTATACATGTGTATCAGTTTATCTAACTGAAATGACTGGGCATAACGGAATGCTTATGATAACAATAAAAATCTACAAACTTGTAGTATATAATGTCATTTACATGCATGTTTAGAATATGTCACCACTGTCCGGGAAGTCGAGATCGTTGTACGCAATAATAGGCCGGGACCGGTCCACATTTTCCCTGTAAATTATTTCTTACAACTTAGAAAATGTACATCACAAACGCTGTAAGCGAATAATTTAAAGGCAAAGCCATAATGAATAGTTAGCTTGAGTTAATTCATACTAGCGCAGAGCCAAAGCCGTTGTCAAAGTGTCGCAAAGCAAATTAACCTTTATCTGAATAAATTAATGCAAACATTGACTTCTCATAAAGAACATGTGTATTACTTTGCAGGGATAAGGGTGAATTTGCTGTGTTCCATTTCACATTGACGCTTCGAGTATGCCTTAGTAATGAATTAAGATAAAAAGATGCAAACACCCAGATGAAACCATAACCATATTAATAATGAAGCAATAAAGGCAAGAATTAAATTGAAGTGTTAAAATCATGCAAAAAATAAATTATTCAATTTGTTTCAGTGTTTTATTTACAAACGATATAAGTTAGTTAATGCTTCCACCGAAATCCTACTTTCACCTAATTATTGCAAGAGATTTCATTTTACAATTTATAATCCTGCCGAACCGTAAACAAGATAACTTTATTTATGTAACTTTAAGATATTTATGGTTATTGTAGATTGGTTTATTTGCAATTCTCATTATAGCCAGCTATTTTAAATGTATCATAGGAAAACACATTTTCATGTATTAAATAATGATGCAACATTGTATTTCATAATAAGTAATATAGGAACGATATTCCGACCGCCGAATAGTGTCATACCGCTAACGGCGCAGCAGCTCAATCATATTTAGTTAAAGCCAATAATATAATAATTTTTCCTTCATGATAAGTTGAAATATTTAGAGCTAATGCGTACCTTTTTTTTTTTTTTTTGAGGGGGGAAAATCATCCAATGACTTCTCCCGCCTGGGTGAGGCGGGAGGGAGTGTCAGACTCTTACTGACTAAAAACCACCCCGTTCCTACTCCTGCACTTCGAGCCGGAGCCCCGGCAACCCGTTAAGTCTTCCGCGGCTCCGTATCGGCATCAGCCTTGTTAGGCCCCATCTGTGGTGGTCTGATGGCTCCTTGAGGCGCGCGCGGAACGCGACGCGCCGTACGCTCGGGCCTGGTTCTGGTCGGGCGGCGAGTCACCCATGCTCGCCGTCCGCAGGCCCGTGCTTACGGTGGCCGGAGATCGTCTCGCGATCCCCGACGCCCGGAGTGTCTCTCGCGACGGCCGGGTCGTGAGGAGGTTCGTTCCCTCACGCGCTCCGCCTCCTCCTTAGCTAGCATGACTGCTTCGCAGAAGGAGGAGACGGCATCCCAGTCCCCCTCGCTCCGTACCATGGTCTGAACCAGAGCCGGACGCGAGAGGTCGCCGTCGCCGATCACATTTCTGAGGACACGGCGGTGCTCAGTCCACGCAGGACACACCGCCACCGTATGCTCCACCGTGTCCTCCGGACGATCCTCGCAGTGATGAGCTAATGCGTACCTAGCACCTTTTCGTACCCACATAGTTATACTAGTTATACTAAGAACTAGATATAAAGTTTGCAAGCAATGTTTTTATGACTAACTTCGTATCTCGTAAGAAATATGATGTTGTCTTCTAAGTAATATTCGCAATTAGGTTTACAATTGCTTGAAAATCCTGTTACACACGGATGTAAGTATTTTTCTATGTGAAGAGTACCTAATTCTAACGAAGTGGAGATAGATGTAAAAGCACAAAGATTGAAAGAATTTAAATGTTACGTCAAAATATAGAGTACTAGCGGCCCGTCCCGGCTTCGCACGGGGGGACTTAAGATTTTTTACATAGTTTTACGTTTTATTTATATTTATTCTCAGTTTTTTTTTAGCGACCTGCCCTCCGTTGTCGATGTCGCGTCTTAAGGTAACCAACTGAACAATTCAAAAGTAATCTAGAGCAAACTTTTATAAGGATTGAACCATTCATTAAAACGATTGTTATGGGTAAACTATAAAAGGTAGACATATGCTCTCGCGGACTTTTTTAAAAATAATGTTAAGATAAACAATTCATCTATAGAACATTTTTGTATAACTTTAACTATATGCTCAGCGCACGCCACGGAAGGCCTCAGAAACGATACTTTTCCCCCGTTTGTAAAACATTTTTGGTTACTGCTCCACAACTATAGGACCTAGCGTGATATTATATAGCCTATGTTACTTCTGAATAATGCAGCTTTCGAATGGTGAAAAAATTATTGCAATCGGTTCAGTAGTTTTTGAGTTTATTCATTACAAACATACAAAAATACAAATCTTTCCTCTTTATAATATTAGTATAGATACCTACAGACCATGTATTTCATGCCAATCTTTTTGAATCAAAGGTAAAACGTTGTCGAAAGATTTAAATACAATTCAGTGCACATATCTAAGTCAATAGTAGACAGAAATGCTATTGTTATTGGTAAATCGTGTCTGCCAATGATCTAATATGTCCTATTACAATTCTAGACTGTGAATCGTTACACTGCATCTATGCATCATGAATTTAAATCTGCATTGTTTTTTCGGTGGTCATTTAAACGCACTTCATTCTGATTTGAAATACTTTTTATTAAAATGTTTTAATGAGTTCAATTATTACCAAAAAATTAAGTCATACATTATTATTATCGACTGAATGATTTTTTTTAATTGGCGCTCTTTTTTTCCTATTTTAATAACAAATAAATATTTTCTTAAAAACGGGCATGTTTTTTCGCGTTTTGTCGTCTGTATTTTCATAGTTTTGTAGTTTCATGCATGGAATTAAACAAAACATAAAATTATGTGGTTTCCACAAAAGTATACCCATAAAAGCAAGATGCAAAAGTATTATAATTCTTATTCCACTTCTTGAACCAGTCGAGCCATGAAAATACAACTACGAGAACTATGCAAGTCTATGCATTAAAATTATTACATTAGTAAGATCCAAATATTACTGTTACTACTAGTGTATTTTATGATTTGTTCATGAAATGGAATGACACAGCTTTGACAAACGAATTTCTTCTAGTTCGTGTTTTAAATGACCATTTCTTACATGAATGTTGTGTTCAAAATACATGCATATCTATAGTTTTCGTGTGTAAAAGCCGCATAAGGAATTAATGAAATCAAAGCAAGTTTATGATGGGTGGTTACGTTACCTTGGTCTAGAGAAGCGTGGATGTCTTGGTGCATACGCTGTAGGAGGAGCCCACCCGCCCCAGCCCCAGCCACGTGCCGCAGCGGGGCCGCCACCGGGGCCGCCGGGACCGCCCGGACCACCAGCGTACCTGCTGAGGAGACCAGATCTGATAGAGCCCAACTGTCCAGTGCATTATGTTTGTACGAGTTGTAGTAGTTAACTCCGTACATTGATTTGTAGTGAAGATGAAGTTGATGTAGTGTAGAGAAACAAGTTTCACCCAGTTGCACTAAGTAGTTAGTTTATTGCAATCAAATTACAATATGAATGAAAGGCGATTATTTCTCTCAGTTGTTGATAGCTACCAAGTTATAAGTTGACTATATTTTAATTCGTTAATCACGTGGTTTTATTACGCTAAATTGTACGCGCGACTTTAGCCTAAAGTAGGTTGCCGCGTAAACAAAAAAAAATGTGCGGTTGTGAAACCGTACAATGTTTTATTCAGAAAGTTAGTGGTCTCTGGTTCTCTATATTAGGGTTCACTGCGTTATGAAGGCTAGTCCTTTTACAGTTATGTACATGAATACAAAAGACCATGTTACTGAACTAAGGTTTCCCTTTAAGAGGAGAATCTGTCATTATTTTCACACTTAGCAGGGAATTTAGTAATCAATAAGGGTTTTGAATATTTAGAGTATACTACCCAATTATTCAGTGGCTGACAAATACCACAGCTCTTAAAAGAAAAAAAAACACGGCCCCTTCTTAAGGGAAATTCCACAACTGTCTCTTTTGATCGTAGCAGTTAACTCTGCTAAAGGCCATGATAGTCTCTATACGCAAAAGCTATGCATTTTGACTGAGTTAGACAGATAAGACTATCGTTTTTATATAAGGTCCATGAGTGTAGGGTAGTGTAGTTAAAGCAGCATGTGCAGTGACTGACGGTTGCGGCGGCGGCGGGTGCGCGGGCGGCGGCTGGGCGCGCGCGGCCGGCTCGGGCTGCTGCGGCCGCCGCACGTCGCGCACGTACGAGTTGAAGTACGCCACCTCGCGCCGCACCTCCTCCACCTAACAAATGGAATTTATTTTAGCAAATACTCTACAAAATCAACATAAAAACCAGCTAAATGAAAGTGTTTACTCTTGAAACCAATCAATGTCAATGCAATTTCAACCCAATAAAATCTCAATAATTATTCAATGTCAACACTTTACAACCCCTATCGTAGCTGTTAAAATAGCACTCAGAGTACGGAATATAAAGCCTAACTCAATACCTACCATTTAGTTCATTCAATATCCACGCAATACGGATGCAATGGGTGGTAGTGTTGCAACTCAAGAGTACGAAATTTTACAATACCACTGTCGGTCGATCGGAATTGGATTCAAGAGTAAGCCTACTGATTACTCCCAGAAGAAACAGTAAATAGAAATAATTGTATATTTTAAAATCCAGACACAATTAGGTAGACCAAATTATCAAGTTCGCATTTTTTTTACCTTTTCACCATGTTTGTTGAAGATGTGTTTTCTAATGAAATCAGGTCCTTTGAACTTCTTGCCACTGAGAGGACACAGCCACTTGTCTTTCGCTAACTCTTGGGTATTGGCAAGAATAAACTTTTCTACTTCAGCATCAGTATCCTGTTGAAATAAGAATCACAAATAAGATACTGTAATCCATTGGAATGTAAGTTAATAAGAAGATACAAATATTTTCATTGTATACCTTGATTCCAAGTTTCTGCAACTCCTCGTCAGACAGTGGTTTAACATCTTGTAAGAATGCAGACATTTTACCTTCAAATGTCTTCACATAGTCTTGTATTTCTTGTTGGGTTGGCTGCAATAAACATTTTGGCATTATTTACTACTGTTACAGACACTTAATAAAATGCGGCTATACAAGGTGTTGTTTTAAACTCGCGTCATTTTTTAGGAGGTATCTCGGCTACCGATTCTGATTCAGTCAAAAAAATTGTAGGTTAATATTTTTCATTTTTCTGAAATTACGGAGATCCGTAAGTGCGAACTACACGCCGCGGTCTTGTAACTAGCTTTATAACGCGGCTTAACACACACAAACTCAAACACGTAACTTATATTATTCCTAATTCCATAAAACTTCGATAAGAAACATTGCTGTCCCTTATTCTGAAATATTGTCGAACTTAAACGATTAGCCGTATTTTTAACTATTGGCCCGAAATTTTCTCTTACATTGAACCTTTATGACTTCTGTGACATGCCCCCGAGAAATGACACGGTTTCAAAACTACACCTTGTATGTATTATTATTTACCTTATTAGCAGGAGGTCCGGACCTTGCGTGCATAATACCGCAGCGGTTAGGCATTTCATCTTCATAAGGGTATTCGCAATGGTTGTAGTAATCCACGGAGTGTACGATACGTAAGTAAAGTACAAGACGATCTAAAACTCGAATGAGCTCCGGGTCAGGTTGTTCGGAAACGGCAGTTTCTGATGACGCTTCGAGACCTAGTAACTCTTCTTCTTCCGTTGAAGCTTCTTCTATTAAATGCTCCGTTATTTTATGGAGTACTGGGTTCTTTGAATTTAGGCTAAAGGTCTGAGGGAAAAACAAAAATATAAAAATATGTCAAACAAAAAAACAATATGATAAAGTAAAATATACATAGTTTAATTCTGTACCTCGTTACGGTTTCCTTGGTCGTCGTTAGTTTGTTCATCGGAGTTTTCTAGCCACAGTTTCGAGCGCGTATCCAAGAGATGTGCGAGTCTCGCGGCCAACCTAGCATCAGCGCGTAACACTGGCCGCTCTAGGGTGATGCCAGACACTGGGCGGATACGACGTTGCAGGTCACGGTTGACTATAGCACCCAATTCGCACTCGCGAAGCTGTAAATAAAAAATGTCATAGTAATTTAAAATTTTAAGCAGTTCTAGTGTTTTTCTTGCTAATCTGAGCTATTTTACGACTAGGTAGAAGAAGCTTTAATTTAAACTTACTCTGATGTTATTAAGATTCCAGCAGATATCTTTGATATTGACATCGCGGCGGAAGGTAACCCATCCTCGACGGAACCAGCGACGCTCCGGTAAAGGATCAGCCAGAGCCACACGAAGGAAGCCGCCGTAACGCTTGCACATCTAGAAACGAATTCAATTCATTACATTCTTATTTCAATTTCTAAGTTCATATAGAAAACTTTAGTAAAGTATGTCAAATCTAACTTGTTTATCTGTAAACATTATCATTCTGTTATTGATAACAAGATCTTGATAAGCGACAAACCATCACAGGTTACAGTTTGGGATTAATAAGATATGATTATACTTACAGCTTCCACTTCAGCCTTGGTGATGGTAGGCGCCAAATTCCTTAAGAAAATGGAAGTTGTTTTATGCAGAGCCCGACACTCTTTTTTCTCCATAACAACATCACTGATGGACTCCGCTTTCTCATCTCCACTTTTTTCCTTATCCTTATCATTTTCAATGTTATTTGTAACCATTTTCTCTACACTAGGTGACTTGGATTTAGCCTTTTCCTGTTGTTTGGGAGACTTATCAGGAGTCTTGGACTTAGACTTCGACTTCCGACGAGTGGTAGATTCGCCCTCATCTTCTGAACTGGACGACGATGAACTAGATGACGAAGAACTGGATGATGAGCCTGGTGGTGCTGTGGAAAGATATGATGTAGTACTTCATTGAAAATAAAACGTCACCTAATAAATTATGCAAATATAATACAATTGGACACTTACGAGGTTCCTTTTCCTTCACTTCCTCCTGCTCAGGTTCAGTTCCTGTAGAGTTGAAGCGAGAGAACAGTTTCGCCTGCTCCTGTAGTTGACGTAAATGAGGATCAATCTCCATGGTCAATGGCGCTGTTGGTTTCGGAGACTCGGGCGCTTTTTTCTCTTCTTTCTGTTTATAACGTCAAATATCGTATATCCTACTTGATATTATTTAATGTTTGTTAGGTTGATAGAATGCGGATGGTTGTTATTTGTTCACGCAAAAGCTTCTGAAGAGATAGTGTTCAGAATATATCTGACATTCGCCCATAGAATTATTAACGCCAGTAACCATAGAATTAAACATGAAACCTTATGTGCTATAGTAGTGATTATTTTATTAAAGCCACTTTGATGTGTAGCGAAAAGCTGATTTATTAGATGAAAGAATTCAGTGTTAATAAAAGTTAGTTTAGTTTTAATAAAAAATTATACAAACCTTGTCTTCTTCCTTCTCTTCTTTAACCTTTACATCATCAACATCTATAACAACTGGCTTGTCAGAATCAGTTTTGTCTAGAAAAACAATATCAGGTTAATATTTTTTCTTTAGCATTTGAAAGAGATTGTTTTTCAAAGAATTACACACATTACCTGCTTTATCATTTGAAGTGGCATTTTCCTGTGGTGGAGGTTCATCCAGCTCTTTTAAATCTTCTTCAGTGCCACCTTCTAGCTTGATGACTACGGTGTCCAGAAGCCTGATCAATTTGTCAGACTTGTCAATGTCTACTGACACTTTATCCAGTTCTCCTTTCTCCAATAGCTCAAGAAACACATTGAGTCGATTCTGGAATATTTTAATGTAGGAAATTACACAAGTTGTTATTTTATTCTACAGATTATGGAAGAGGAATTGGATGTATTCCACTAATGTTAACTTACCTTTAATGCCCCAAGTTGCTCTTCCTTGCGTTTTATGGACTCTTCAGGGTGATATTTGATCTTGAACCTAACAAACAAAATAATAACATGAGTGTCAAATTAATTTAAAGATTAAAACACTCTAAAGAAATCAAATAATGGACCGATTTTTATTTAAACAGTAAATTGAACACTGCTTACAGCAAATTAAAAAACTACAATATTTTTAATGCAGTTGTGTTGTAAACTAAGAAATAATAATAAATAATAAGTGAAAATGAAACACAATGTGTGAAAAACAGAATCCAAATAAAAACACAATATCAGCCGTTATAAGAGAATTCACAAATTGGGATGCATTACAAAAATAGATATTAAAAATCGGTCTTTCAGTAAACTACATACATAAAGAAATAAACAACCTTTTGTAACAAATCCAGACTGGTTGAACATCATGTCACAGAAAACTAAAATTGCTTAGTATACATATATTTAAAAAATCTCATAATCTCACCTGTTCCACACATGTGGAATATATTACCCTACCCCTAACAGAAACGAAACCTGTAGCATTGCGCGCTACTGGTCAACGCGAAATATACTAGCTACACACAGCATTTAATCATTTGCATAAAGTTTGATTAAATTTTCTTAATGATGTCCAGCAATCCACGCGAATACACTGAAGACTGTAGGAAAAAAGGTAATTGTTAACATTTGCATAGCATCATTGAAAAATTCTAAGCATAACTGGGATCTACTTTTTTTGTTTAGGTCTTAATTTTTACTTTATTTTTACAATGCATGCTTAGAATTTCTCGATAACCAGCAAATTATACAAAGAGCAAGTAATTGATTCTTCAAGTTACAGATGGTATTCTAAAGCCCCATTTAATTTTAACCATGCAAAAAATTTTGTCCCCCCAAGATTTTAAGTAGCTTCTAGATGAGTATATTAAATAAAATTGCATTGTGCATACCATTCCTCATCTTTATGAGCAACGAAAAACTCATTAAGTTGTTGTCTCCTAAACTCGAGCTTGTATTCATTGTACTTCTGGATGGCATCATCCACTGTTATGGAATCATCTTGAGCTGCAAGAAATGCCTTGAAAGACATCATCGTGGGAGGGCCATCTGTTGCTCCTAAGGGCATGACTGCATCCCTGTAAACCAGACAGTATATTTATTTAAGTATTATAAAAAATTTAAAATGTAAGACGTAAAGTACTAAAAATCAATTCATAAACTTTATGTTACCTGGCTGGGACGGGTGCCATAGGTTGCCCATAACCTTGATGGGCCAGATGAGGACCAAAATGATCATGAGGCCAACCATACCCATAAGAGTCATGTGGCATACCCCCATATCTTCTGTCATCAATAGGCCAATCAGGTCTAATACGTTTGGTAGGTGGACCTTCTCCTCTGACTGGTGAGTACCCTCGGCTGGCACTGGCTCCTCCACGGTAGTCCCTGTAGTCAGGACCAGAGCGACCTCCACGAGATCTTCCAGGCAAAAAATACATTTTACTACTTGTTTATAATTATGTTTAGACAGGCATTAAGTGAAAATTCCAGAAACTTCTACTTCAATATGAAACAAAATTTGAGGTCTAATAGGTAATTATTTATTGGGTAAACTAACATTTTGGTCAGAGTGTAGCAAACAACATGTGAACATTTTGACATAATATGGGTCAATATAATCTTTGCCAGCAAACATTGTTTGAGAGCAGGTTAATAGACAAATATATATATTTTAGATATTATATAATAAAAGAGGACCCTCATAATAATATAACGCTTTAGTTATAAATAAACCATCATCTGGGTGTAATTTTACCTCATAATAATAGCAACGGAGCGTTTTGTAGGTTTAGGAACTTGGACAGGAATTTTTGGAGGTTCGAAGGATTGAGGTTGGGATCTGGAAGCAAATTCAATAATATGAAGTCAAAGGATGATCAACTGGTCGATTCGTCCTGTTGAACATAGAATTACCTCTCAGACCAGTCTTCCCGGCCACGACTTCTTTCTTCGCGTCGGTCACTACTTCGATAACTGCTTCCTTCAGCGGTGCCGCGTTCACCACGGAATTTATCACGCCTTTTGCGATCGTATTCATCATCACTATCAGCCATCTTTACTGATTAAAATTCCGAATACCGAAAAACTAGATTTAGGCTTAATTATTTCAATCAATTAAACAAAATAATAGAAAGTAAAAGAAGCGAGACGCAAACACTCACACAGCGAGACGAATACGAAAACGAAACCACAGATCACTAAAATACCTAATCAGTCAAAGTTAGAAGTCAGTCAGAGACACGAGACGAATGGAATGACGTTGACGATTAGTATAGCGAGAGCGAGCGAATAGCAAAATGCAAGTAATGCGAGTGCGAGGGGGAGCAAAATGAAAGCCATCCATAGACTAACAGATCAGTGTTACCAACTCTCAAAAATAGTTATCCCTAAATCTAAGTCAAATTGCTTCAAAAATGCCCCTAAAAAATAATAGTTAATCAAACATAATAAATTAATAATAACAAAATATAAAATGCAGTACTATTTGTTAATGCTCTTCATTTATAAATTATCTAATATTATTATATTAATTTAATCTGAAGAGTCACAATGAAGAGGCGTTACAATGCAAAAACTTCTTGCATACGGCTTGTTCTAAACAGAACAGGTGTTCACTGATTTGAATATGGAAATTTGTTTATAGTAAGTAGTGCACCGCTCAAGGGAACGTTCGCCCGCCACTTCTGTGCAGAAATGTCGCTGTGTGTGTAAATAATGATACCAGCTACAATTTCATTTCATTGTAATTTCAAAGCTTTAATTTCATTATAATTTTTGTTTGACTTGCCCCTAAATTTAGGGATAAAACACCTAAGGCGGCAACAGTGTGACAGATAATGATGAATAAAAAGACAAGTAGTCCGTTTAGATATGTTTGACATATTTTCATAGACATACATAACATCACACCTTTTATCCCCGAAGGGGTAGGCAGAGGTGCACATTATGCCACTGTACAATGTAACACCCACTTCTCACTATTTAAGTTATGAGTCCCATGTAATAGGGCGTGAGCCTTGCTATATACCGGGCACAATTCCAGACTCCGTAGTACTACTAAGATATTTTTTAAAAACCCAATAATAGTTTGCCCGACCCGGCAGTCGCACTTGCGACCACTCGACCAATAAGGCAATCATTATTTTCATAGACCTGAGTCTATCCGGCTCTGAAGCCGGATTTAGGGGGGGGGGGGGGCAACCGGGGCGAAAATCCCGGGGCCTCCTCAAGCGGGGGCCTCCACAATAGAGACTTCGGAAAAAAAAAATCTTTCAAATTTCAACTAGTAAACCTAGTAAACATCTTTTCTTTGATATTTTTTTTTCGCTTTTACCTTTACCTACAGCCTAAAGTACTTTATACATTATACATACATGATTATTTGATTATATTAATTTTAAATATTAACAGAAACAGAAATCATTGATTTATACTTGTTCACTCCAATCAGGCAATCAGTGAAATATCAAAATCTCAAATGGCTCTGATAAGCACTTCCAATTTACTACCCATTGATTTTCATTTTACTTAATTTTACTTAATTGATCCAATTTACTAGCCATTGAGCCATTGGGGTACCCCAATGGCTCAATGGCTCAGTGGGATGGTACTTGCCCGTAACCTCGGAGGTTGGCTATTCGATTCCGTGTCTCGACCATTAAAAAAATTAATTGCAGTATGTGAACAATTGGTATTCTTCAATTCTTAAACTCGAAATCTGTCGAGCGTCCTCGAAATCTATCGAGCATCCTCGATCGTTTTCGAGCGTCCTCGATTGTTTTCGAGCGTCCTCGATTGTTTTCGAGCGTCCTCGAAATCTATCGAGAGTCGTCGATCGTTTTCGAGCATCCTCGATTGTTTTCGAGCGTCCTCGAAATCTATCGAGAGTCCTCGAAATCTATCGAGAGTCCTCGATCGTTTTCGAGCGTTCTCGATTGTTTTCGAGCGTCCTCGAAATCTATCGAGAGTCCTCGATCGTTTTCGAGCGTCCTCGATCGTTTTCGAGCGTCCTCGAAATCTATCGAGCGTCCTCGAAATCTATCGAGCGTCCTCGAAATCTATCGAGAGTCCTCGATCGTTTTCGAGCGTCCTCGAAATCAATCGAGCGTCCTCGATTGTTTTCGAGCGTCCTCGAAATCTATCGAGAGTTCTCGATCGTTTTCGAGCGTCCTCGAAATCTATCGAGCGTCCTCGAAATCAATCGAGCGTCCTCGAAATCTATCGAGAGTTCTCGATCGTTTTCGAGCGTCCTCGAAATCAATCGAGCGTCCTCGATTGTTTTCGAGCGTCCTCGAAATCTATAGGGCGTCCTCGATCGTTTTCGAGCATCCTCGATTGTTTTCGAGCGTCCTCAAAATCTATCGAGAGTCCTCGATCGTTTTCGAGCTTCCTCGATTGTTTTCGAACGTCCTCGAAATCTATCGAGAGTCCTCGATCGTTTTCGAGCGTCCTCGAAATAATGCGCTAGTATCAATATTACGTCGTACGTCGTCGTCGTTTAGTCGTACTGTAGAGGTTGCTATGTGAACGACTGGAGTCTGGAGTCCATTTATTTTTATGATTAAATAGACAAGCTGTAAGCGCGTGGGAAATAATTGGGGCTACCGTTCTTTTGCTGACCAGATAGCGTAAATGTAGGAAATAATGTTTGTCTTTTATTTATTTAAGTTTTACACAATTCCGCTAAGGAGGACTTAATGCTAACAGCATTTGTCCAATCACAGTAGCTGTCAAATAGTGAACGTCCAATGTTGTAACACTGGCAATTCCCTATTGGACAAAGAACGGGAGGCTCACGCTAGCGCCATCTGTTGAGCAAAAATATGGTAGGCCCCTTTTTTTAAGGAGGAAAAATCATCGAATGACTACTCCCGCCTGGGTGAGGCCGGAGGGAGTGTCAGATTCTTACTGACTAAAAACCACTGTTCCTTCTCCTGCACGTCGAGCCGAAGCCCCGGTAACCCGTCAGGTTCTCCGCGACACGGTAGGCCCCTTTACTGTTGGCTGACGTTTATGTACGGTTTACGAAAATGATAAAATTAACTACTAAAATATCAATCAGAAAGTAAAGGTACGTCACGGGTAGGTAAACGTCTTCGAGCTAAAGCTATACAAAATCACTTCATCACAAATTCACAGACAGGTCATTCTGATTTTGCATAGCTTGATATGTAGTCGTAGGTAGGTATGCCTTTTTTATTCAAATCGCAATAAGCCCAGTCTAAGAAAGAAATCTGATGTAAATGTACCATACCTGCTTAAGTATACCTACCTACCATTACTTTATTGTTCTACTTCTGTTAGACCCTAATTAATTGTTATATTTTTCGGCTTACTCACATAATTATTTGACGAGGAACTCAACTAGTTCAAGCCATGCTAGATGTTGATGTTCATAACATAAGCAGCATTTTGCGACCCGGGACGCAGCGACTGTCGCGCTGCCTGCCGAAATCCGAAAAACGTAATAATTAATTTAGTATGTCTCACGAAAGTGTCAAATTGTTGGTAAGAGAATCTTAATTGTTAGATAACCTCTTATTTGTTAGAACAGTATTTATATTGTGACTTAAACCTAGATTTAAAGAGGTGAGACAGAATAGGCGCCAATTCTTTTTGACATGGTTATCGGAATATCATGATATCCTCTGTATGGCGCACCTGGTGACCTGGTTCCCCGGTTTATGTGAATGAGTAGATCAAGCAGATCAACCGTATGGTTTAACGGCTGAATCTAATAATTAGGTACCTACCTGTTAGGTACTACTACCTGAGTGGAAATTAATTAGATACCTACCTACGTAAACGTATCTAATTAATTTCCACTACGTATGCGTACCTACGCCACTTCCATTCAAATATTTTTTAATGTTGCCGATTTTTGACATTCGTTCTAACATAACATAACATCACGCCTTTTATCCTCGAAGGGGTAGGCAGAGGTGCACATTACACCACTGTACAATGTAACACCCACTTTTCACTATATATGTTATGAGTCCCATGTAATAGGGGGTGAGCCTATTGCCATATCCCGGGCACAGTTCCAGACTCCGTGCTACCACTGAGATTTTTTTAAAAACCCAGTAATACTTTGCCCGACCCGAGAATCGAACCCGAGACCCCTTACCCGGCAATCGCAAATTAAATCGCAAAAAAAAAATCGCAATTGCGACCACTCGGCCAACGAGGCAGACATTCGTTCTATTATTGTAAAAAAAATATATATTACTTGTGACTGACATATCTAAGTAGTAGTCGGTAGTATTTAAGTTTAGGGCCGATTTTAATGGAAGAATTGTCAAATATTTACTATTCAAAGTAAGTTTAATATCTTAAGTTGTATACTTAAGTATATTTAGTAATAGTTATTAGTATTTATTTTATTTAAGTTTATGTTATTTGTAAACAGAAGACATTTACCTTTAAAGTTATAGATACTTACTTACCACTTAAAATTTATCTGGCGTTAAATTTACGTCAGGATTTAGGAACCTCCGGAAGTTAAATTAAAATTACAGTTTTTACGAAAATCATTTATTAAAAATCCTCATTTACCTGGCGAATTAATTGTCTGTATCTGAAATACCTACATACTACGTAATTCAATTTCTTTAGTGTGCCTATTCACTATATTATTATTTCGGACAATGCATTTCATCAGTGAGGTCTCCACAATTGTCCGTACCATCGCATCGTACAGCGCGCGGTACGCAGCGGTGATTCTTACAACGAATTTCATGAGCACCACAGTTGCCGCCACATCCATCAGGTTCATCACTACCGTCAGCACAATCAGCTAGGCCATCACAAAATCTTGAACTCGAAATACATTGACCATCAGTGCAAGTAAACTGGTCCGTAGGGCATTCTGTAAAGTGAATAATAAGTGAATTCAAAAGAATTCCCACCCCGTTTATGTTTCTGGAAGTGATAAGCCTAAAAATAACTATAATGACTGTTTTAAGTAAATAATGAGAGTCTATTGTTTGTTAATTTTTATTTGTGTACCTATCATATTAACAATAGTTATAATCAGTTACAAATCTTACCA